CCCGCAGTTCCCCTCCCTCTCTCTGTGTCGGACCTCATCTCCAATCGCTAGGATTGCTGCATTTACAGTCGTCGTCGCTATTACATTGCTTTCGTGTTTATCCGGTGTCGCTCCTCACGAACCCTATTGACGCATCTTCACGATATACGCTCAGTTATTCCTTATATCACTTGCTCTCGAGGCCCATGTCTATATGTTCTAGGCTGATGAAATGTGATGACTTCGAGTCTACGATGCGCCTGTATACGAAAGATACGGCCGATATTTGGTACTGCATCTTGACGGGGACAAGGCGACGCGGAGTTTCGAGTCGCGCCGCTCGAGGTCGGTAGTCACCAGAACCCACTGAATTTGGTTCGCTGCTCACCTCAAAGTGACCCAATCACCCATTCAACAGGTATACATAGACATAGCTTCAATGTATTCTCTGCATATCGAGTTACTGGTGCGTGACTTCATACTGCTCACACCTGAGATTGAACGTGGTCCCAGGGTAGTAGGCGACCTAGCAAGCAGTCGTGAGAAGTCCAATTGAATATGCCGGCGTTCACTATCAGAATCCGAAGTGACTTACAGGAACCTCATCCATGCACTTTGCGCCCGCATTCGATGTTGTCATTGGCCAGATGACGTTTCAGGGCGTCCGGTCGTGAGAAGTCCCGGAGGCAGTGGGGGCAGCGGCGAGCGAACATCTTGAGATGGACGCCGCAGACGTGCTTGCCAACCTGCGCTTTCAGCAAGCCGTCCCCACAACGGGTCCCTGAGATGGGATCGATGCACCACTTGCAATTAGTGCGCTCGCCGTGCTCGACGGACAAGTGTGTGCCAGTGATATGGTCTTGGACTTCCTTCGGTGATGCGTTCATGAACACTGCTCCACAGTAGGACGGCGGGTCACCATAGCAGCAGACAACACGGTGTCCATTACTAGCAGGCGCAGGAGGCACATCCATCTAGAAACTTTCTAAGTCATTAGTCCTGACCACAGATATCACCACCTACAATAACTGCGAGCAAAGGACAGTGAGTATACCACTGACGATGTCAAGCGACGCCAAGCGTACCATCACAGAGCGATGTATCCGGGGCTTTTATGCAGAGGACTGACCGCATAGCGCCCACGCACCAACGCTTACCAATGAGGGTGGCTGCAGTAGCGCATTCAGTGCAGAGTAAGGTGGGCATCTCCTTCTAGCCTTGCCGGGACCCGCGATTCAGGCCAGATGAAAATGACACACCCCGTGAGTGGACTACCAGTGTTTCGAGTTCCAGGCCATCTTGATTGCGACAGCGTACAATGGGGACGAGGTGTGGAAGATTGAATCTGCGTATCATTGGGTATCTCGATGGTGTGAAGCCGGGCGTAATAGGATAGGAGACCCGCGGAGAGCTGCGACAAAACTGGTAGATGTGCACGTCGGGAAGTTCACGTGTATCGGTTCAATGGGAAGCTTGTCATCGCTGTCAGCGTTAAGCCTTCCCTTATCACCATCAAGGTGGACAACTGCGTAAGACATAGCAGACATACCGACAGTCAGAAACACGATCAGTATGAGCAAGGTTGAGGAGTGAGCAGCCCCACATGCCAGTGCATGGCCGTTGTACTCTTCAATGCGGTTCCTGAAAGTCAAAGCATATGTCTGAGCAACATACATAATATTGCTGTCCGAAACCCACCTAAGGCTACCCGGCCAATTGATTCCACAGCATTCCACCCTCATTACTCAGCGCTAAGTACTGCGTTCAGTGGACTCTGTTTAACGACAACCAGACCCGACGAGAGGATCGTTAGGATGTCGGGGCAGCCGAGGATAGTAGCGTTCTGTATATATATACTACTATCAGCATCTTCCACGCCTATCAATTGAGAGACACAGACAATATGTCCAGTGAACTCAGCTATAGTATGGATGTGGCTCGTAGTGGCTCGCGAGATTGTTCATGCCACCAGGTTCCACACAACGTACGCTCAATCTGGCGCGCAGGACACCCTAACGTACTATTACATCAAGGTCTGGCAGTGCCATGCTGAAAGGGATAATGTACAGGTGTAATTGCGCGTTGGTGGGTATGCATGGTAGCGGTTGCATTAATCAAACCCTATTCAGCGCGAACTTGGAAATGAGTCATGGAAGCGCATATCGATTTGAAAAGAACTGCTCAGCTTTTGCTTTCATTGTGATTCTATCGATGTTCGCACGCCGTCATATTGAGCGCATTCGGGATGTCCATGTCAGCGTCTTTGGGCCACCACAGGTTCTCTTCGTAGTTTCTGTGGTTAGTCTAGAACCATCGCTCCACAGACATAACACAAGTATGGGGTACAAACATGTTATCATATGCCAGGAGAGAACAGACAGCAGTATGACTCAGTACTTACCGGGTGAATAGTGCATCGTGCGGCTGACTCAGAAGCCTACGGTCCACAGGCATGGCCGTAGTCAGTGACACCCCAGAATGCCTCATGACTTCCGCACGACTTACCATGGTGGCAGGATGCTAACCGGTACGATCCATGAAAGAGCGGATGACCAGAGCACCCTGTAACTCGGTTGACCTGCCATTGTGATACTCTCCCCCTTTGTGACGCCCTCAGCAAAATAGCAAGATGTGTCACGACGCACCGTGGGTCCCAGTCTCTACATATACTCGTTATTCCAGATGAAGACTACGTTCATCGACGTGGAGTTGATGGCTTACGAGGTATTGGATATGGCCTCAATCGATGCGGCCAGGCCAGCCAGTTGATATTTCGGATGCACACCTCCTGGATCATGCTTGGTGGCGCGTCGCATGTGTATGGATGACTTGTGGCGGCGGGTAAACTCGTATCGCACATGACGAGATCTGTGCAGGACAATTGGGGGGTGAAACAGAGTGGTGGCATGACAGGTGCGTTTGCGGTGGGTGACATCCCCTAGCGAGAAATTGAGACAACCACCAGTGCTCTGAGGCAGCGAATGCAATACCGGTGAAAAACACGATAACGAAGAACGTGTCCACGCTCATTCCGGTCAGGGTGCCGCCGTCTATACATCGTCCGGGGGCAGAAAGGTTAATCATCAAAAGGGGTCAGTTATATCTTTCACTTACACACGGACATAGATCTACTGGCGGACTTGTCAGATCACTGGCATGCCCCCAATGCCACGAAAACCGCTAGGCCCTTCACCCCTAGGACTTATTGGGCAGTCTGTGCTCGAAGAACTGACAATCGGCGTTGAGTTATAAATCTCTACCTCCGCGTGCATCGGGACCGATCGCACATAAGTACAGTAGGACCCGCGTAGCCACTATGATCTTCAAGCCGTCAGAGAACCTTGACTGGTGGAAAAACGACCGGAACAAAGCGACGATATTAATTGAGCTGACAGTAAGTACAAGTCATACGTTCGGAGATCAAACGTATGGCGTACCGGAACGTTCCAAGCTGCCCCGCAGGATCCCGTTGTGCCGTTGTGCTTGTGGACGGCCAATATGGAGTGCTCTAAGCTTCTTGATCACCCGAACGACCTATAGCGATGATGGGCAACGAAAGTATTCAGTGGTGTCGGTGCCATGGCCAACAAAACCCAACATAACTCGGACGACATGCTCACGAGTTAGTCATGCTTCGGCCCTCCTCCCGTGGCGACGAGGCAAAGCCCAGCGGACAAGTCACTCACATGTTGCGCACTTCGCTCGTATCTTGCGGGACCCTGTAATATGCTGCTAGTGTGCCCGTGCGTCGCGTACACCCCGTTCTTATCATACGATTGACGGAACCTCCGTAGATGAAATCGCGAATTGTAACTCAGAGACCGTGTTGGCAATGATACCGCTATTCATATCTGTTTAATGTTCGCTTGCCAGAACGTATTAACAATTCCACGGTTATTCTCGGAGAAATCACAGGAGAGCATCACCGTGACGGTCAGGCTCTGATTACGTAGATCTAAGATGAGTTGTACGAATGTTCTCCCGCTGTATGAATCCATATGACGTACACGGCCAGCGAACCGATGGTGCTCCGCCTGCAAGCAGCAAGGACCGTGAGCAGCTTGCAAGCGCGATTCAGCGCAGCTCCTGATCGGCGCGCTCGCGGAGTATTTTTCAGCGCTCGGGTTCTGAGCGTGCTTGGTGCACACGGTTTGCTTACACTCGCGAGCTGATTGATTGCGTGCAAGCCGGACTAGACGCGACGCGCAACAACGTCACGTGCCTTCGCTTCGCACTGATCTCAGGTCGATTCCTTTTCCAGTGTCGGTCCCCGATTCTAAGCAGCCCTCCGAGTGAAGAGCTTTGCGTGCGTATAAAAGACATTAGTACTTCTCATTGGTCTTATTAGTGCCTTAGGACTTATCCTTAGGCAGAAGAAGGGCAGAGCCACGCACAATACCAGCCATAGAGACCACGTCGACTACTGACTTTGCTTGATTTCGCGCCAAGTCAGAGTACCAAGGGGGCGAGATAAGCAGAGTGTCCATAAATGCTAAGACGGGTCAGCAGTCAATGACTGTATAGTGTAGTTGTCAGTGTTAATAAGAGTATCTTTGTGTAGTGCTTGAGCGTGCAGATTCAAATCCCGGTCAATTTCTTCTTTTTCCCCCGCTATTTACTTAAGCGCCACCTTTGCCCTTTTCGAGTAGCATGACTAAGTATCTTTCCCTTTTGAGCACTGCCGGCATGCCGACAGGCCTTGCGCTCTGCGCGCACTCTGCTGCAATGCTCGGAGTAAAAGCGCTTAACAGTAAGCCGCTCGCGAGCCGGCTCACGGGTGCACCGCAAGCGCCGCACATTCCTGGTGCGAGCCGAACCGCAGGCTGACTGTCCCCATTTCGACGGCCGTGTACCATGGTCGGTATTCTGTTGTGTACAGTCAGTGCACTTGATGTGAGCTGTAGTGACTCCGACTCGTGAGTACAGTGCGGTTCAAGCTTCAAGTTCTCACCGGGGAGTCGATAAAAACAAAGGAGGGAAATGAGATTCTGAACCAGACAAGCACCAAAACTAGAGTTACTAGCCCACCGCGGGGGTCGAACCCGCAGCCTTGAGATAATACCGACTGGATAAGCCCAAGCCTTAAAAGTCTCACGCTCTATCCGATTGAGCTAGGCGGGCTTAATAATGTTACCTACATATAGTGCCTAGATTCCGCCACACCATGATAATGAGTTTTGATAATGAAATCGTTAATTGAGTGACATCACCGAGGATTTGGCCGACGAACCGGGGCTCGACCGGGGCTATCCGGAGTACGCTGAGCTAGGTCAAGACTGACCTGGCAGTCGACCAGCAGTCGACAGTCTCCTTCTCTTTGCATTTTCAATTGAGCAATGGCTTCGCGTCTTGGAGCACGCATTTTTGCTCAGGCTGTCCGCCCGAGCGTGCGCGCCGCCGGCCGCACAGCAAGCAGGCGTTGCATGAGCAGCAATGGTCACGCTGCGAAGAGCAGCGACACGCCTTGGATTGTGAGTCCCAGACACACCTTATCGTCTCCCATGCGGAGCGCGTTATTAATGAAGCTCTTGCTGTAGATTGGCTCTGCGGTCGTGTTTGGCCCTGCTGTACGCTAGCGGTATGTCACACGAGTTAAAGCAGAGCGCTGACGCCTCTCTCTGCTGCAAATGACAGGCTGTCTGGTTGCTCCTGCCCCAGTCGGATGCAAACAAGAAGGCACATGACGTTGCATTCAAGCAGGCCAACGCTGGGGCGCACACTGTTGGTGAGAGCAAGAAGGACGATCAGCCTGAGCCTGAGCCTTCGGGAGAGGACCCGAAGGATGCGGAATCGTCTGACGACAAGCAGGTGCGTAGCTAGTACGGTCCCGAGGATTGCATATTAAGTCTGCTTTATGCAGGGCGGTGATGGTTCCATCACTGACGCTGAAGGAGAGACCGTGTCCGGCAAGGAGGTCAACGAGTCCATGCAGCAGAGCTTCGTGAGCGGGCTTGTTGCAACGCGGACGAGTGTATTGTAATGATAGTGCATTCCTTTCCAGAACGAGGATTCGCCGCCAGATGCTCAGGCTGCTGAGGAGAAGAAGGCGAAGGACGACAAGTGGGCGGAAGGCGCGCCCGGTCAGACGGAAGAAGCCGAGAAGAAGCCAGACCAGAAAGAAAAGCCATCCGAGAAGAAGGGCGGTGAGGCTCCGTCAAATCTGGGCGACGCTCGCGAAACCTCCAAGGTGACGTATGGACCAGGGCTCTTGTCCGAGAGTGCTAATTGTGTATTGCGTAGAGCGGCGAGACGCCGAAGGAGTCGGGCGCATCGAAGTGATGTGCTGTTATTCATAGATGTTATTCGTAACATTAGTACGCTGACAATGCGCATCTGGACATTCCCTGTACCCCCCTGCTTGGTATCAATCGAGTGCTCGCGTCCGCTCTGGCTGCAAGTGTATTCCTGAGTAAATAAGTACCAGAGATAAGCAAGAGATAAGTACTTAAGTAGTGGACATGATGGGCGTGGGAACCAGGTGTCGGGACTGGTGCGTGCCTCGAGTGCTCCGACACGCGGGCCTGCGCAGCCTTAGCCTATCCTCACTACCCCCAAACCATCCCTGCTACATAAGTTATAGCTCGGGCCTGCTCCTGCGGACTGGCCTCTGCTCCTTACGCTCCTTACGCACGTCCTACCCAGCCATGTCTAGCAGCCCCCGCCCGTCGAGCAGCTCCGATGACTCTGGGCGCAGCTCGCCCCTGCAAGGCTTCGACTCCTCTGCGGCGCTGATCCTCGTCCCTGACACCGACGATCCCGCAGCGAGCACGCCATTCGGAATTTCCAGTGACGATGAGTACGATTCCGACGAGGACAGCGATGGTGTCGACCGCCTACAGGCGTCGGCGTTCCCCCCGCTCTCCTCCATCTCCGTCTTCCTCTATCTCTTCTCCCCCTTCCTCAAGCTTGGAGCGCTCTTCTTACCAAACGCCGGCCTCCCGCTGAAAGTTGCAATACCGACGCTGCTATTCTTTTCCGCTCTTGCGATATTCACAAGGCAGATATGGTACATGCTGGCGAGATATGTCCGAAGGGCGGATCTAGAGGAGATCGTGCTCGAGACGTTTGCAAGAGACCGGAGGAAAGAGGGAAGGAGGTGGGCTCTCAGAAAAATCATCCGTTTGGCGTCGGGTGCGTTCCGAGTATTATTAGCTGCGATATATGTGCGAGGTGAGCACCGCAACATCATTTGAATATGCGGCTATTCTGGGTATTCCTGTGGGTACAGGGCGTCGCTGCAGTCCCGAGTGGTTCGTGCATTATTCGAACATTGTGCTAACACAGATTATAGCGGCTGTTGATGTCCTCTTGCCTCTCCTTCCGGAAAGGCTGTTTTTGCCATCGAATGTCACGGTGACGCTCGTCGTTGCTCTCATCGTCGCTCCGCTCTACTTCGCCCAGTCTCTGGGCATTGCACGGGTCATATATGCGACGTGGGTGTCCTTGGCTGCCTACGCAGCGTGGTTCATATGCACGGCTTTTTCGCATTCACGGGGCTTTTTCGTAAAGGGCGACGTTCCCCTGTCGATAGGTGCATTGTGGCAAGGCGTATGTGAGTAGATGCTATCCCTTGTGATTTGGCACCGTCTCATAACAAACAGCCATCGTCGCCTTTACCTTCACGACGTCTTCCACTACCGCTCTGTATACTTCCTTGCGAGGAACAACACAACCTCTGAGCCCTCGCCCGCGGCGATCTCAGTCATTCAAATTGCTGTCCGCTCTATCCGTAGGGATAGCGGTACTATGTGTACTACCACTTGTATTTTTCCAGCCTGCTAACTCGCCAGCCGTGAGCATTGTCCCTTTTCTACAACGTCAGACGATGCTGACCGCTTGAAGTCGCAGGAGAGGCCCCTGCCGTCTCCGAACCAAATGGATTCATCGAGCCCGCTGGACACGACGCCCGAAAACGTGCTAGCTGCGCGAGCACTGTTCGAGACAGCCGCTCTGGCGCTTTCTGTACCATCAGTCCTGATCCCGACCCCTGCACTACCGATTCCTTCTCGCATCCGCCGCGTTACCCGCTTCCCTTTCACCCGTGTTCTTGTATATATCGCCGCGATCATGCTTTCACTTGTTTCGCCTTCCTTTGCCCGAGCTCTCAGCGATGCTGTCTGGCTACTTGCGTTCTTCAGCACGTACATGCTCCCCGCGCTCTTGCACATCATCATCCACAACTTCCGCAGTCCACTCTCCATCATCATCCCGCCGAGCACACCCGCCACGGCGTTCTCTAGCCCTGGCTTGCCCAGCGCGCAGTCGGACGCGAGCGACTCGCGGAACGACGAGCTCCTCCAGCGGAAGGAGCGTACGCTGCAGCGGAGGCGGCTGGGGCGGAGGCTCGTGTGGGATTTCGGCGTGTGGATGCTGTTGGTACCTGTGGGTGGAGGTGGGATGGCGTGGGCTGCTGGGAGGCTCGCGGGCAAGTGGTAGTGTGTAGAAGCAATGAAGAAGTGTACGCCTTTCCATGTCGCGCTAACTGGATAGATCGTAGTTGTCTGTTATAGCTGCGGGCTTCCTGTCTCTTTTGTGTATGATCAGTGCTCCCTTATGTTTGCTGTACTCGTTGTGTAAGATTTATCTCTCGAGCCTTCGCGCACTCGTGGACTTCGCGTGCACGTTGTGGGCGTGGGTGTGTCCATACGAATGCGTGCGGAATCACGGTGAAGAGCGAGGTTCACTCTCCGCGGGTGCGCGGTTCGTTCTCCGACCCCTGGTTGAATGTGTTTGAGTCCCTTGACCTCTCCCTCCGTTTCGTCCGCGCGGGACCTCAAGGCCTTATACACGAAACCGGCTTAAAAGCGTCGCGCACGATGAGTCACAGTCAAGAGGGCATGGTCTTCCAGTTCCAAGCAGGTCAGCTGCCGTACATACCTCGCGACAAGGTCGTCGCAGCGCCGTGGCAAGTTGCGCTGCTGCAACAGCTCCTCCGGAGGGCGGGAGACAGTCCACCGAGGGAAGAGATTGTGCGGACCAGCAAGGAGACAGGACTGTACGCCCTCCTCTGATTGCCCCGCGCGTCTGGCTGACCAGTGTCCTGGGATGCGATTACCGTATCCCAGAGAGGTTCGATGGATCAGGAACTGGCTAGGTCGACAACGTCGAGGCAGAGCGAAGAGCGTCCTTGAAGATTTTGCCACTAGTAGCAAGGGAGAAGGAGAATCGCATACAACAACGTCCATACCTGCTTCCACCACTTCGAGTGCCGACATCTCTGGTTCTTCTCATGCCTCTTCGGGAGCGGATATCTCAATCCATCAGTTCCTCCAGACTCAACCGGAACGTGGGCGTCAGCACAAGCGCAAGCGACAACCGGATATTGGTGCACAGAGCCAAAATGTCGCTGCCAAACTTCCTGTGCCATCTGGTCCTTACGTGCAGATGGCAAAGCCCGGCACCTCGTTCACCATACCTCTGCACCCAACTCCCCAAGCCCAGTCGAAGGGTTCAAGCTCTCTAGTGTCTGTCGATCCGGACTCTCTGCAAGTCGACAACGGGCCCAAAACGGGCTCTCTAACTCGCTCTCCTTCTCTTGGTTACATCCCTCTTGCCTTCCCTATGACCTTCATGCAGCTGCCCGGCGCGATTGACTCTGAGCTTTCTCTTCCTGATGATACGTCGCTCGGCTTAGACAGCACTGGTAATACCTCCGATCCAGCTATCCAGCCCTCTCAGGTCCCTCCTGGCACTCAGTTTAGCTGCCCATCGATGTATGCCGAAGACTTCATGCCTACCGTCCCTAATCTGCCGCTTGATCACACGCAGCTCGGCCCCCCTGAAAGCCAACACAGTTCGAACATGTTCTACCTCTCGCAGCTGCTCCTCGATGCCTCGAACGCACTCGTCCCCCAGCCGACCACAGACGCTCTAGACGACTCGGAGTATCTCTCGGAAATCTCGCCGCTGTCGTTCGCTCCGTCGCTGCAGTCTCACTCGACCTCCGTGCTAGGGACCGTCAGTACGAACCCTACTACGCAGTACGGACAATATCTCATGTACCCTCCTCCGCCGGTGGCCTTCAAGGCGCGTGTAACGGATCTGGCGATGCTGACGAAGAGGATACGGGCTACATACGAAAATAGTATGGGTGCCGAAGGTTTGAAGAGTGTGTCTATGAG